GGTCTCTCAGGTAGCCAGGTCCTAAACCATGTAGGGCTTTAAAAGTAACAACTAGCACCTTGAAACGTGTCCAGAGACCAATGGGAAGCCAGTGCAGCTCGCGGAGGATGCTCGCGCGGCTGCATTCTGGACTAATTCAAGTCTTCAAACACTCTTCAAGGGCAGCCCCATGTAGAGCGCGTTACAGTAATCCAGTCTTGAGGTGACGAGGGTGTGAGTGACCATCTGAAGGGCCTCCCGGTCCAGATAGGTCAGTGAAACAATCTTGGGGCTACTGCAGAATAACAGATTTGGAAGGCATCTCAGAAGTCTTCTAGTGTCCAACCACAAGAAGACTCTATACCATTCTGGACAAATGTCCAGTCTCTTCTTAAAAGCCTCCAGTGTTGGAGCTCCCACAATTTCTGAAGTGAAGCATTTCCACTGGTTCATTATTTTCACTGTTGGGAAGTTTCTCCTTAATTCCAGGTTGCTTCTCTCCTTGGTTAGTTTCCATCCATTGCTTCTCATCTTGCCTTCGGGGGATTTGGAAAATAAGTTGACCTCCTCCTCCTCCTCCTCTTTTATTTTTTATTGTATTTTTAAATACAATTTATACATATTATAGGAACGAAGTGTTCTCCGGGTCTTTTCTTTTACATCCTCTCATTTACATAGCTCATTTTACACCATAGTTTTGTTTTCACTTCCAGCCAAATTAATCTCTTCTACTATTTTCATCTTTGTACTTATTTTTCTTAATACCTAAACAATATCTTAAATTGCCCCTTCAAAGTTACACCAAATTTTCATTTCTTGTTTTCTCCATTTATATATTTTACTAAAAAAAACATATATCTTCTAATTCAATTTAAACAGAGAGCATTTCTTTCAATTTTTCTACAATGAACAGCATACTAGAATTTCTTTATTTCTTAATTAATTACATAACAATAACAATCTTACTACTATTCTCTTTGATCTACTAATATAACTCTTTCCCCCTTTCCCTTTCTCTCGGGCTCTCAAAAAATCCACTTTTACTTTTAATTCTTTTTCTTCTTCTCCCCCTTTCTCCTAGCTTCTTCCTTTTTCCCCTATTTTTGTGCTTATTGTATCTTTTCTTCAGAGTATTTACTTTCTCCTGCCTTGAGCAGGGGGTTGGACTAGAAGACCTCCAAGATCCCTTCCAACTCTATTATTCTATTATCCTTTCTACTCTTCCTTGATGTCTCCTTGGGCACTTCCTGACCTAACAACCGAATCCTTGCTTTTCCCGTTCTGCAGGAGACCAGATTGTGAGCGCCACCATCTATTTTGACAACGTGCACTCAGGGGAGGTCTCGGAGCTCCTTAAAAATGTGGGTCATCACACGGTGGGCCTGCGGCTACAAAGGAAAGGAGACCGCTCCCCGTTGCCAGGGCAGTCTGGTTCCTATGATGTGTTTCCTCCAAGGAGCCCAGAAGTTGTTTTGGTGAGTAAGTGTGAAAAGGAGAAGAATGGAAGAAGTGTGTATGTGTGGAGTAGCTAAGGAACACAACAAGGCAGCTGTGTTCTTTAGATTGTTGGCCGATACCGGGCCGAACCAGCAACAACCCACCTCTGGCGTGGTGTGGGCGGGCACTGATTGGCATGTGATAGGAGTCAGGAACATAGTTTGCCCATATAAATCTTTCTTTTTCTCTCTCTCTCTCCCTCCCTTCTTCTTTCTTTCTCTCTCTCTCCTTCCTCCCTTCCTTTTCTTCCATCCTCCCTCCCCCTCCTCTTCTTCCTCCATCCTATCGCTATCTTCCTTCCCTTCTTTCCTCCAACTTATCACTCCTTCCCTCCCTTTTCCTTTTTTCTGCCTTTCTTTCTCCTTCCTTCTTTCCTTTCCTTCCCCTCCCCCTCCCTTCCCTTCTTTCCACCAATCTATCTCTTCCTCCCTCCCCTCCCTCCTTCTCCCTTCCTTCCTTTTCTTTTTTTGCCTTTTCTCCTTCCTTCTCTCCTTTCCTTTCCCTCCCTCCCCTTTCCTCAAACCTTTCCCTCCCTCCCTTCCTTCCCTCCCTCCCCCTTTCTTCCTTTTCTTTTTTCTGCCTTCTTTCTCCTTCCTTCTCTCCTTTCCTTTTCTTCTCCCTCCCTCCAATGCAGTTTCTTTCCTTTTTAGAAGTCTATAAAAGAGAACAAAAAAAAGAACATTTCCCCTCCCCCCCTCATTTAATTGCCCTTTAGATGCTCTAAGGTTGGCCGGTACTGACAAACATCGATTCGTGGCTCTCTTGCAGAAACAATCATCTGATTGAGGGCAAAGCCAGTTGCAGGGCCTTAGAAGCATCCAGGGGTGTGCAGCAGCTGTGTGATGCTGGAAGTTCCCGGCATTTGAACAAGAATAGTGACAAAGAAGGGGACCTCCCCCTCCCCTTGTCAGGATGACTCAGCTGCCAATCAAACAGCAGCTACTTGTTGAATACTAGCGCGGGAAATACAAGCGCGCGAACAAGGACTCTTCCTGATTGGCTCCCGGGCAGAGCCGGCTCAATCCTCGCCCTGATTGGTCGAGCTACAAAGGACTCTTCCTGATTGGCTCCCGGGCAGAGCCGGCTCAATCCTCGCCCTGATTGGTCGAGCTACAAAGGACTCTTCCTGATTGGCTC